ATGAATTGAATCCACAGATCATTCACAGAGACCTCAAACCCGATAATATTTTGATTGCTGATATAATACGGAACCGAAGGTTTATTAAGTTATGCGACTTTGGTTTGGCTATAGTTCACGAGAACAGTATTCACAATAAAACTAAATACAAACACACGCCAGACGCGGGAGACTATAGATATATGGCGCCCGAAAATTTTCAGGGTGAGAAATATAACCACAAAACCGATATTTATAGTGTGGCACTAATTGGAGGTAAATTGTTTGACGTTAAGGTTCATACTATTGACGATAACAGGTATTTAATAATTAAATACTGTATGTGTATTTAGTAATTATTTTATTTTAGGTCATTGGCATACTCATCAAATAATATGCAATACTAAGCAGTGTCAAATTTATATAAATTATTATATGGGATGATTACACCCAATTGGAATAATAGGCCCGAATGTAGTGAAGTGATGAATAGATATAGCGAGTGGTCTATCGATAAGAATATTCTGATAAATGATAAGATATACAAGGTCATATTAAATAAGATCGAGACTTATGAAAATAAATTTTTCCATCAATTCTTATCAACTGTTATACAACATAATGAGTCAATGGTTACTTCCGATGACCACACCATCGATGACATGATACATTCATTACTTAATAAAATTAACCTGGGTTTGATTACCACTAATGACGAGCCATTATTAGGCAAAATGAAAGTAAGCAAGCTATTACTAATTAATAAACAATGTTAACATTAATTTCATTATAATTTATAAACTCATAAACTTTATAATTTAAATAATTTATTTAAATTCATTTACAGGAAATTCAAGTGAATGAGAACCACATCAAAATAAAAATCGAGGAGATTAGGCGCGAGTTAAAGAAACCTGGTAGACTTATAAAGTTACTGGATGCCACTGGACTGCACCAGGAGGCTATTGGTATGGCTGAGATGTTCCGCATGGAGGAGCCCTGGCCTTACACTAATGACATGGATTTAAAAGTCATAAACGCGTCAATACTGCGATCCGGGAGTTCCCGATACTTTTTAATGGAGTTCCAGCCCAGAGGGCGAGCCATAGTGTTTGTGACCACAGATGGTCTGATGGATGAGGCGGACAGATGGGCGTCCATTTTCAAACAACTAGGATTCCAGTACGCCGTGTATCGGGACGCCACTTGCATTCAGATAAGAGATGTGCTGGAGGTTATCCGGGATAAGCCATTCGACGCCAACGCCTTGTTTGTGGTGTTTATTGGCGGCGGATATAATGAAAATATCTGCGGATATGGTAATAGACCCCACAATGAGATGTCGTTCACAGATATTGTGGACATATTTTCCGACAGTAAATGTGTTTCTCTGCGAAATAAACCGAAAATATTTGTTTTCAACACTTTCTCTATTGGTTTGTATTTGTATTTATTTAATTGTATTTTGGGTATTATTTATAAACTAAAATTCACATTTATTTCTATAACAGGAAATCCTACCAAACAGTTGGAAACGGATCAAGAGATTGAAAAACATATACATATGAATTATAATTTACCCCGCACCTATGTCATCTACACACACTCCAAATGTATGTCCGATTAATTTAATTTTATTTTTGTTTATGAAATCTAATGTTTAGAAGAGGTTAATTATCTTGATGATTTAATTGAATTCACTTTAGCTATGGATTCGTGGCGTAACCCCACAGAAAGTATTACACTATTTGGACAGGCATTCAGTTATACGATCGCACAGTATGCCTGTAATCAACCCTTTTACCAATTACCCTGTTTGACGCCCTATAGTGCGTACCCTACGTATAGTGCGCCCATATTATAACATGAATATATGAACCCAGGTATAGATGAATTGAATTTTAATGACATTAAGACAACTGATCATTTGAGATATCTAGGCATAAGCTTAAC